CGGCAGCAGCAGCAGCAGCAGCAGCGGCAGCAGCAGCAGCAGCGATTTGAAGCAGCTAGCTGCTGATATTGCTAAGAGCGCGTCTGCGTGGGCAGCAAGGCGCAAGAAGGTGTGTTTGGCAATGGATCTATCAGGTAAACCCTAAACCCTAAACCCTAAACCCTGATTCTAAATCTCTCCCTAAACCCTCGATCCGACACATTAGGGTCTAGGGTTTGTCGCAGCTATCGTTACGCAGCTTTGCTTGTATCGGTGTTCGGTGTTTGCTAGCTGGGGTTTAGGGTTTAGCGTTTAGGGTTTAGGGTTTAGGGTTTACAAGGCGGGGTTTAGGATTTATCAGGCCCACCTCGTGGGGTGTTCTGCCGCTCCGTGATGAAGGTTTGGAGGTTAGAAAGGGGGGCTTTTGAAGCTCGACTTTTAGGGTTTAGCGTTTAGGGTTTAGGGTTTAGGGTTTAGGGTCTGGACAGGACTGGGCGTGTCCGCTGCCTACGACAAGAAGAGAGATCTGGGCTGGCGGTCGCTGGGCTATAAACCCCAAACCCTAAAAGAGATGATAATGGAAATGAAAAGAAACAACAAGGATAAAACGGAGCTGGAGGCCCTCATAAACGCTGTCCGAAACCCTAAACCCTAAACCCTAAACCCTCGGCGGGTTGACGCACTTAAACCCGACGCCGAAAGCCTCCCCCTGCCTAAACCCTAAACCCCAAACCCTAGACGCTAAACCCTAAACCTTCACTTAAAGGCGCGTCAAGTCGCGGCTGTGAGGGGAGGGCTTGAGCGAGGGCTCAGGGCTTAGGGTTTAGGGTTTAGGGTTTAGGGTTTGCGATTAGGCCTCAATCGCCATAGACGAAGGAGACAGCGCAGCGGCGCTGCAGCTGGGCCGGAATTTGTGGTGTATAGACACCTTGGGAGACACGAAGTGTTTTGTTCTAAACCCTGCAGCGGTACTAAACCCTAAACCCTAAACCCTCGTATTGGACTGCCGCGTTGCGCAGCAGTGTCTTCTTCGAACCGGGATGGCCGCGAGGGTTTAGCGCGAGGGTTTAGGGTTTAGGGTTTGTGTGCTGCAGCGGCTGCTGAGCTCCGCGTACACCGCAATGGGAGAACTAGGGTTTGCTGCTGCTGCTGCAGCACATTGCCCTCTACGAGCTGCCCTTTTGAAAGAGCACCAAAACCCTAAACCCTAAAAAAGGGTTCAGGCGTGGGCTCTGGGCGACTGCAGGCAGCCACCGCTGGGCCTAGGAGGGCAGCAAACTGCCCTCATTTAAGGCCATTTGTTGGGGTTTAGGGTTTAGGGTTTGGGGTTTAGGCCTGCGGTTTTGGTTCTAGGGTTTAGAGTGTAGACCTAGGGTTTAGGGTTTAGGGTTTCGCGCTGGATATAAAGACAAAGACTGCCCAGACGGCTCGTGCAGGCCTAGGGTTTAGGGTTTAGGGTTTAGGGTTTAGGTTCTAGGATTTGGCGGTCACCGGCCGCCGCTGTTTGTCTTGGTTGGACTTCGCTACAGCAGCTGCTGCAGTCGACGGTTTAGGGTTCAGGGTTTAGGGTTTAGGGTTTAGGGTTTAGCGTCTAGGGTTTGCGGTTTAGGGCTAGTGGTGTAGGGGCCCCGTGGCTGGACGCGAGGCACCCTACACATGGCAAAACGCTAAACCCTAAACCCTAAACCCTAACAGCTTGCCAGTTGATTCTAAATGGACTATTATTTTCGCTGCGAACAAAACACCGAGGAGGAGGCGTGCATGCGTTTCGGGTGTATGTACAGCCCCAGCCCAATGACCCCACGAGACTACAGTTCAGGGTTTGGCGTTTAGGGTTTAGGGTTTAGAGCTATCTTTTTGTTTTCTGTATTTTTCGTAGAAAACCCTGTTTTCGCTGCCATTGAGCCCCCGCTGCTGCTGCTTCTGTGCGCAGCAGCAGCAGCAGCAGCAGCGACAGCAGCAGCAGCAGCAGCAGCAGCA